CGCGACCGTTCCAATCTTGTCTAGGACTGTAAACGGTCCTTCCCGCCTCGGGGCTAGTTTCCTGGATGGGTACGGCAGCTTCAAGTTCCGGGAATCTAGCCATACCAGCTGACCTTTACGGAAGGAACCCCCCGTCCGTTTTACTCTCTTGGCCAGGACGTTCTGGGCCATCTCCATTGCCGCATGTGCTTCTTCGCAGATGTTTTGCAAGTCCTTGAGGCGATAAGCTGCTTGGGGCGTGTTTGATCCGGGGTGCGCGGTGGGTATTCCACGAGGTTCGTATCCCATCATGAGTTTGAACGGGGATGCCTTCGTCGTGGAGTGCTCGCGGGAGTTGTGAGCAAATTGCGCAGTGTGAAGATGGTCAGCCCACTTATCCGGGTCATTGGCAGTGAAGCAGCGGAGGTAGATCTCCAGCTCTTGGTTTACTCGTTCTGTCTCGCCGTCGGTTTGCGGATGGAATGCTGTACTCATGGCTGATTGAACCCCAGTCATTTTGCAAAGTTCTTGGAAGACTTTGGACGCAAATTGCGGTCCTCGGTCACTGATGATCTTGTCTGGGAGTCCAAACCACTTGTAGACCTCTCGGTACATTGCGTCTGCCGTCCCAAGAGCATCAATTGTTTTGTTGCATGGGATGAAAATTACCCCCTTCGTAAGGTCGTGGTCCACTACGACCAGAATTGAATCGAAGCCGTTGGACGGTGGCAAGTCGGTGATGTAATCGCACGAGAATGTGCTGAAGGGCTTGGCATTTGCGCGGGGTCGAATGGGGGTGATGGGCGGTCGGGCTGGATGCGTGTTAACCTTCATTTGCTGGCAGATGCCACAGCCGTTAACATAGCGGGCAACAAACTGGGCCATGCTCGGCCACCAGTAGTCTCGGCGTAAGCCAAGGAGGGTTTTCTGAACACCGGGGTGTCCTGCGGAGGGGAGGTCGTGATAGTGGGAGACAAGACGTTTGCGAAGAGACTCATCTGGGGGTACATAGACCCGATCCTGGTATAAGAGGAGGTCATCATTGATGGACCAGTCTGTTCCAGTGCGTGGTGTTCCTCCAGTGCGTGCCGCAGTGAGGCCTTCCTTCATTATTGGGTCGTTCTGAAAGGAAAGGATGGTGTCGCGGGTGTCAATGTCGATGGCAGCGACCCATACTTCTGGTGGGAGCATAACGACGTCGGTGTTGTCATTTGAGCCGTCGTCATGGTCGGGTCGGCGGGAGAGAGCGTCGCTCTGCACCATTTGGGTACCAGGAACGTGTACCAGGCGGAAGTCAAACTCGGTGAGTTTACTCGCCCAGCGTGCTTGTCGTCGGTTCATGTCTTTGGCTTGTTTCCAATAAGTGAGGTTCTTGTGGTCGCTGAGAATCGTTACTGGGTATGGGCTGCCGATGAGGTAGTGCTTCCATTCATCTAGTGCGCGGATGACCGCATATAATTCCCTGTCGTAGATGTCGTAGTTTCTCTCTGCGGCATTGAAGCTTTGAGAGAGGTATCCGCAAGGATGCCAGTCGCCGTTGTCGTCGCGCTGGCGTAGTACTGCTCCGGTTGCGAACTTGGAGGCGTCAGTTTCGATAGCGAAGGGTCGATCGGGATCCGGCATGCGTAGTACCGGTTCTTCTAGGAATGCCTTCTTGAGGGTTTCGAAGGCTTTCTGTTGGTCAGATCCCCAGGTCCAGGCGACATCCTTCCGGGTGAGAGCGACCAGCGGTTGCGCTTTGTCCGAGAATCCTTTGATGAACCGGCGGTAAAAGTTTCCAAATCCAACGAAGGCGCGTACTTGCCTGAGGTTGGACGGTACCGGCCAATCTGCAATGCCAGCTAGTTTGACGGGGTCCATTGCAATTTCTCCTGGGCGGATGATCATCCCGAGGAATTCGACTTCGGTGACGTCGAAGGCACATTTCTCCGGTTTGAGGTAGAGGTCGTGTTGCCGAAGTCGTTCAATAACACGTCGTGTTCGTTCTTCGTGTTCTGCCTTGTCCTGGGAAAAGATCAGGATGTCGTCCATATAAATGCAGAGCCAGCCTTCTTGAAGCATGTCTGCGAATATTGTGTTCATCATCCGCTGGAACGTAGCGGGGGAATTACACAGCCCAAAGAACATCACCGTTGGTTCGTACAGCTGCGGCGGTTTGCCATCAGTTCCGGGTACAATGAACGCTGCCTTCCATTCGTCCCCTTTCTTGATTCGGACATTGTTGTATCCGGCACGGAGGTCCATCTTCGTGAACACCTTGGCGTGCTTCAACTTGTCCAGGAGGTCCGATATAAGCGGGAGCGGGTATCGATCCTTGACCGTGTTCTCGTTGAGCAGCCGGTAGTCTTGACAGGGACGTAGTGAACCGTCCTTTTTACCAACAAAGAAGAATGGACTCGCCAATGGGGATTTCGAAGGGCGAATGTACCCTTTACTCAGGTTCTCCTCGAGGAACTTGTCAAGTTCCTTTCGTTGCTGCGGGTTGAGCGGATAGACCTGTTGTTTCATGTCCGCGAAGCCCTCCTTGAGGTTGATTTCGTGGTCATATTCGGTGTGGTCTGGAAGTCGCACAGCGGTGCCTTTGTCGAAGACGGGGAGGAGATCGTGTAGGTAGGATGGTACCATCTGTGGTAGCGTTTTTTCTGTCTTGCCTTGGGCGTTCGAGGCTGCTAGTTCGGTGGAAGTGGTGACGCGCCTAATGTCGTGGTGGATCTTCCAGATCATGCCATTGTGGAGTCGTTTGTAGCCAGATGAAGGTTCAGGGAGTCGCTCCTTGAGCGGAACGTCTCTCACTGCCAGGGGTTCCTGTTTCTCGTACTTGGTGATCATCGGTGTTCCGGATAAGTAGGAAATGATGAACTCATCATCGTTGATGTCCTCCGCTTGTTCCTCGATGGACGCAATACCCGTTGATCCAAACCCATCCTCCCCGCGTTCAGTTTCGTCGATGCAGTCGGTTAGCGTTACTGGTGGAGTGCTTATCCTTTCAAGGATGAGCTGGGCAACTCGGTCGCCAGCTTTGACGGTGAATGGGAGGTCAGAGTTATTGACCAGCAGGACTGAGACCTTGCCTCGGTAATCGGAGTCGATTACTCCTGCAGCGACATCGATTTCTTTTAGCGCTAGACCGGACCGAGGTGCGATTCTTCCGTAGTGTCCTTCGGGGATAGCCATGGTAAGATCGGTGCTGACCAGGCCTCGTCGTCGGGCAGGGATGATGAGTTGATGCGCGGCAGAGATGTCATATCCTGCTGCGCCGCTAGTCTTTCGTTCGGGAAGGGTTGCGTGCTCCGAGGTGGGGATGACGATGAATTCGTCCTTCATTGGTTCTGGGAGTGGGGTAGTTACGGCCTTCTTCAGTTCTAGCCGAGCCACTCGCCTTTGGTACAGGTCCATCTTCCAGGCCCTGGTCTCGTCTTTCGTCCACCGGTGGTTTAGCTCAACTCGTCCGGTCTTCCAGTCTATCTTGGGGTTTTCGAGCTTGAGCCAGGTATGGCCGAAGATGATGTCTTCTTTGCCGATGCTGGCGACGTAGGCTTTGACAAATCAGGGTTCTCCACTTATCTTGTAAGATAAGAGGGCTCTTCGCGTGATGAGTGCTTCTTTGTTCGGAGTTCCATCCACGTTGAAGACGGGGATGGGTCGGGGAAGGGGTTCTGTCCGAAGTCGATGCTCTCGGACGAATCTCGGGCTGATGAAGATTCCTGTTGTGCCGCTATCGATGAAAGCGCGCGCCTCGACGTCTTTTCATCCCACAGTAATCGGAATGTGCAGAGCGCGTTCATTTCGGACTACTAGAATTACACGGGACAGTGAAACGGATACGGGCAGTGGTTGCGTCGGCTCACCCTGCCCCTTCAAAAATCCTCCATTGTGAGTTCTTCATACAGCTCCCACTTCTCGTCGGCGGAGAGTGTCTTGATTCTGGCGCGGAAGTCGTCCTTCCCAGATCCTCCCTGGTTCGGCCTTCCACCCCCTTGTCGTGCGGCTGCTTTCTTGCGGCAATCCTTGGCGCTGTGGCCCTTGATGTGGCAGTAGAAGCACAGGTTTCCGTCCCTGTGGAGCTTCCGGTCGGCCTCATTGAGAACGGCTCCTAGTTCCCACTTCCTTCCTCCCGATGTGGAGGCAAAGGTTGCCGCGACTGCAGCGGCGTCGATATCCATTGGCTCGCCGTAGTCCCTGGTGTCTGTGACGGTGAGGGCCCCTTGCTCGGCGGCGTCGGCATTTCGGACTTCGTCGTACCAGGCTTTCATGGTGTTGGGTCGGTCTCTAGCGACCCTAGTTGCGAGAGAGACATAGAGCTCCTTCGGAAGTCCTTTGACGAAGTTGGTGTGGAGGGTGTGGTAGTCGTTCTCGGTGCAGTTGACGCCATTGACTTCGGTGTCCTTGAGCTGGGCTTTCGATGCTAGCTGCTCAAAGCGGGTGACGTAGTTTCCGAGGGAGAGCACCGTCTTCTTGTTCTTCTGTCGTTCGGACAGCTTCATCAGGATTTGGTGCGCCTTGATTCGCGTTCCGTGCTTGGGAAACGCTTCCTCAAGGGCAGTGGCGAAGGCTGCCCAATCGGGATAGACCTGGACTCCTCCTGCCGACTTCTCGTAGTATGCGTCTGCCCATGTCTTCCCTAGATCCTTCCTCATCAATGCTACAGTGAAGGCGATCTTTGCTTCATCGCTGAGCCGGGTGTTGTTGGTGGCGACGAAGTAGGAGAGGATGCATTGGATGAAGCGTCTGAGGTCCTCCACCTTTCCACTGAAAGGTTCGGGAGCGGGGATGTCAAGGCGAAGGGGTCGGTTGGCAGTTGATTGTTGGGATTGGTATGCTGCGAGGGCGACAGCGATGCGCTGATCGATGTCTGCTTGAGTGAATGTTGCCATAGGGACTTCAACCGGTGCGTTGGTTGGTGCAGGTGGAGCTGGTGGTAGTTCTGGAGCCTCGATGGGAACGTACTGAACGTCCGGGAGCTCGAACGGTTGTTCGTTAACGGGTGACTGTAGGTTCTCTGTTGTTTGTGCTGGTTCGACGTTGATTCGTAGGATGGCGAATACGTCTTCTGGGTGAGCGGGAGGGTGTCTCTGGTAATAGCTGACAAGCTGTTGATGGGCGATGATCTGCGGGTTGGAACCTTCTGCGCGAACCCAGGAGCCGCCTCGAGGATAGATGGGAGTCCTTCTTGTGGTGGTGACGAAGCAACGGTCTGCTCGGTCGTACTGGAGAAGGGGAGATCCTGCGAGGGCTGGTAGTCCCAAGGGAACCGGGTTTACTGCGTTGTTCGACGTGATGGTGGATGAGTTGTTCGACTAGGTGAAACTAGGAACGTAGCTTAGAAAGTTCGACCTTTTGATACAACGGTCTATACTCCTATATCGATGCCTGACTCGTAGATGACGAGCGAGGGCTTATGGACAGTGCGTCGTCCTGAAGATTGAGCGAGGAAGTCGAGAATGACCACTACCCCAAGTGAAGAGAAGCAGAGACTTGAATGAATAACCAGGTCGAACTTAGGGTTCGACCGACTAATGGTACAACTACTTATACAAGTACCGACTGCGCACGGACCATCGTGTCTATGTGGTCGTGTTAGTGAAGAAAGAAACGTAGTGGTACGATACCAGGAACGAAGTGCGCACGGACCCCATTATGTAAGCTACATAATGTTCAACCTGCGGGTGAGCGCTAAGACAGGCGCCAGTATGGGCGCTAGTAGTACAAGGAATAGAACGGAAAGACAAATGTTTCA